TGTTGTCTTTGGGAGGGTAGAAATAGGAGAGAAAAAAACTTGAAGTTTTGAGCGTTTTCCAGGGGGTAATCCCACCTGATAGATGAGGATCTCCATCCTTAAATATGGTATCCTTGTTGCCCTTATTGGCGCAGTGTTGCCGGATAGGGTACCGTTATTCTATCAGGTAAAATTCACATTCGTTAATGCCTAACACACGAGAAACAAATCATAGATCTGTTAGAACTGAACTTTACCCTTGAACTGATTATATTAGAGCGCGATTTAAGGGAAGTTTTTTTTCTGTTTCCATTAATTTTAGGTTTTGTTTTTCTTCAACTGGGCCTCATTTTCCACGTTTGGGTCTTGAATAGGATATTGATTTTCGCTTTGTCTCAAACTATTCGAAATTTTTAGAGTACTTCCAGGTGGGCGTTAACCTTTTCTGGTCAGAATGAATCGCTAGGATTACTAATAGTGAGCCACGCCATTGTTTGAGCATGGTAACAAGACAAGAATAGTTTACTTCAACGAACGCATTTCATTCTGGTAGTTTACTTATTTTTTTTAACATTTTCCATGTATTCACCGTAGTTGAGCTCCGACATTTGATAAACCTGTTCTTGATTCGAGCTGACAAAGGGCTTCCACTCAAAAATGCCCCCGTCAGCTTTTTCGATCCACGGTCTTTCATTGGTGGCAAGATGAGTTATTCAAATCGTTGGATTACATCAGAGTTTTCTTTTTACCCTCCGACCGACGTAGTAGAAAAGTGTCTTTAAAAAACATCAAAATATTTTGGTGGGGAGACATTGATTGTCCTTCCTGTAAGCCCTGTACGAGATATGACGTCACAAGTGGCATTAGGTCAAACCTAATATCAAGAAGCACACGTCTCGTTTTTGGGACTGTGTATCTTAAAATGTCATAGAAAATTGTAACAAAGCAGAAGAAAAGTTTTTGTTTCTATTGCAGTTTAATCCATTTGAATTTTCCGTGGACGATTTAAAGAAAGTTGGCCCATAAGGTATTCCAGGCTGGATTTTTAGTTTAACGTCGGTTAAGTAATCTTTTCAATTCACATGGATTCCTTTTTAAATGGGTAAAAATATTTCGGCTAACCAACTGATAGTGTTGAAATTGTTTCGCTGACAAAACCGTTTCATGATCAGACGGAATTCATTTCAATATTTTTTTTGCAGCTTACAATGAAAACGAGTCGCCAAAGTGATGTCGTTGAAAGGCTCAGCCTCCTGTTCCTGAGAGAGGCCGAAATTGGTGTCCAAGAACCTGCAAACAAAAGATGTCCTGGATGAAAACCTGAAAGAGGAGAACAGGGAAAAAAAGAATGAAGAAAGTGGAAAAGACGGTGGTTGGCATTCCAACAGGGGCGAAGGAAATTAAATCGACCTGGACGACGTTGAAAGAGGAATTCAATCAACGATGCTCCTCGACGTGAGATGGAACCTTCTTGCTTAAACCAGGGTTACGAAGATGACAAGGAGGACGAAGAAAGTGACGATGTCAACACGTCATTTCAACAAAATGAAGGGCGAAAGGAGTCGGTTACGTCGGTGATGGTGTTACCTTCGATCAGTATTGCCCATTTCTCCAAAGAAAAAGAGCTTACTCCCGCTGAGCCTTTAAGAAACGTCGAAGAAAAGATTACCATCGAGAAAGAAGAAGGCAGCTGTGAGGGCAAGGAAGATGATGAAGAAGACATTTCTGGGAAAGAAGTTCTATGTTATGCGTGGCAGATTGCTAAAGGGATGGTAAGAACTTTTTCGACTGAAGAATGTCTTTTGCAATTTAATCATCGTTTGCAAATCACAAAAATCTGCCTCTTCCCCGTATTTAAAGTACTTTACTACTAGTTTTCTGTGTCTGCAAGTATTATGCTATCCGGTCATGAGACGGCAGATTTTTCAAACATTCAAATTGCTGCGTCAATTAGAACAGACCATCAGTAGGGCTAACTACTATATTTGCTGAATTTTTCGTGAAACATAGCACACATAAATTGAACCGTTCGATTTTAAAAAAGGTCAAAAACGAGGTTTTTAATAGCCTGAGAAGCCTAAAATCTCATGGAGCCGTCGCGAAGGTACCTATTGAAAAATCAGGTCTGTTCGTATTTTGAAAAGGTGTCCAATGAATACAGCCATATGACCTGAATAAGGCTAAACTATCTGTTATTTAATTTGAATCGTACGTACAAGCCCTGACATTCAGGACGTTGCCAGCTTTTTTGGCTAGTTGTAGGCCTGGCTGACTTTCATTTCCACATATCCTGAAAATTGTACGCATGACCAGTACGCACTGACCTCACCAACAATTTGAGCTCTTGTGCTTTTCAGCTGACTCCAACAACGCATAATTTGTTACAAGCCGTAGAGTGATCAAACCAAAAATTTGAAGGCCTGGGCCTACAGGGCTGTGCGCTGGCTACGCCCCTGAGAAAAGAAGGAAGTAGAGGAAAGAAAAGTAATGATTAAATTTTGTTTTCGGGACTGAAGACTGAGCAGCAAGGACTTTCTAGTAAAATACTCACGTAATCTGAATCTTGGAAAGCACAATAAACGGTCTGCAAGTGGAACTGATGATTGAAGCTAAGGGATTGCTTTTTGTAAACGGCAACCATGATGGTATTTGCTAACTATTGTAAGCTCAATTGATATACCGTAAAATTCGAAAATAAGCCACGGGGCTTATAGTTTTCAAAGGCCTTTTTGAGGGGCTTATTTTGGAGGGGCTCATCTATGGAGGGAAATTTGTGTTTCAAAATCGATTGGGCTAGCCTTATAGTTGGAAGGAAATTTCAAGCACAAGCTTCCTGGGGCTTATATATGGAGGGGCGATTTAACGGAGGGTTTTTGGGTTACGAGTTTGGGGGCTTATATTTGGAGGGGCTTATACATGGAGGGGCTTATTTCGAATTTTACGGTATCCTCTGGCTCAGCTGTATATTTGGCTTTTGGGTTTAGCGAATAACACCCTCCCGGTGATCCGCATAACTCTGCCTCATCCAATAATTGCTGTTTATTCAATGGTATGAATGAACCTTTTTAACGAAAAATCTAATTTCTAAATGAATAATGTTCACTGAGGGTATTCCGTTTTGGGTGACTTCGAAATAGAAATCAGCAGTATAGTAACAACCAATAGTTTTTTTTTTTTTTTCGGGCGTGGCAGTCTAAGAAGGGCTTTTTATTCCACTCACCTTAAGTCTCCCCTGAAAAAGAGCATCTAATTAAGTGTCAACAGGTGTCAACGGGTTTTCTTCCGCGGTTGAAATCTTAACTGAAAACCTTATTTTTCAGCCAATATTCATCCCTTCGAGTTATCGAGGGTAAAATTGCATGAAAGTGATCTGAAGGAAAAAAAATTACTTCGAGTTAGCGGGAGTTTCGAGTTATCGAGGGTTCGAGTTACCGAGGATAAATTACAGTAAATGAAATTCAGTGGAAATGGATTCTGGTTCGAGGTAGTATAAGGTTCGAGTTAGCGAGGGTTCGAGCTGGAGTCGACTGTAGTTCACTTAGCTTGTTCAACTTTTGACGGCTTTTTATGCTGAAAAGTATACGTCGCGGGATTTCTTGGCCAATTCCTTTGATTTTTTTTCTTGTTTTCCAACAGCTGTGACGGAAATCCTCCCTCCATTCTTCATGAATAGACCGACGATCACTTCCTCCCGCTTTCCAGACCGTTTGCCAGGCACAGCGTGCAGTAGCCTGTTCCAGGCTCTCGATAGTAGGGGTGGCACCGGCAAAAATAAGGCAAAAAAAGCGTAAGGCACCGGCAAAAATATAAAAAGCGTGATCTAGGAAAAAGGGCGGTGGCGGGCTATCTTTCAGCCTGGAACAGACGTTTCATTGCACTTGGTTGCTTTCCCGCCAAATTGTTAAATCGGGAGTTCGTTTACAACGATATCCCGATTAAACTGCTATCCCCTGCCATATCGTAAAATCGAGCTTCCATTTTAATTTCATATTGGAATTTTTTTTTTTGATCTAAAGGTACCTGGTAACTAAAAATTCTTTGAGAAATAATTTCGTTATTTCTCTGCCAGGAATACTTGGTCAGCAAAGGATTCATTCATCGTGACCTGGCAGCCCGTAATATCCTACTTGGTGAGGACAGAGCGGTGAAGATTGCTGATTTTGGTTTGTTACGCCACGCAAATGAGGGTGAAATATACGAAGTTACGAGCGTACACAAGCTACCAATGAAATGGATGGCACCTGAAGCGTTCGAAAGCGGCATTTTTACTTTCAAGACTGACGTGTGTATATATGTTAACGAGGTCACAGTTAGGCCGAGCTTAGGCTTCCTGTGATGCAGTGTAAAGTTGAGGTTTTAGATAACAAAGACCCTGCAATGTACTGTTTAGAACTGTCTGAAAAGAAAGAGCACAATTTTGATCATGACACTGTCTACAGTAGCGGTTATCACTCTATCTCTAAAGAAATACTCAAGTGTTTGGAAAACATTAGCCTGTTCCAGGCGTGAATCTTGAAAATAAGATATATAAACAGAAACTTTGAGCCAATGAAGTTAATCAGAGACCATCTTGAATCCTAGATTCCAGGCTCCACATCCCGCATTCCAGATACTAGATTCCGGATTCCAACTCAGTGTATTCCAGATTTCAAAAGGCCTAGATTCCAGAATTTCATAGTTAGCTGGATTCCGGATTCCAAAGTCCATGACTCCAAGCAAAAATTTCCTGGATTACCATCCATGGGGCGAGATAAACAAAATTGATATTTCTATGAAGTTAATTCTTGCAATTTCTTTATCTGCTTCCTTTTATTGCAGATGGTCTTTTGGAGTTGTTTTGTGGGAACTAGCCACCATGGGTAAGCTAGTTTTATAAATCTTTGTATACTGATGCTGGTAGAATAATACTCTAGACATTTTCCTATACCCGAGGGAATTGAGAGGAATCCCCAATGACAGTAGTTAGGGAAAAGCTGGCTGTTCAATTTTCGGATAGCAGTCACGGAAGAATCGAACCGCTTTATAAAAGAAGACATTCTCGCATAATGTCGTGATTGCTAAACAACTAGAAAAAAACTAATAGGCTAACTTCCGCCGCTCTCCCAGCCGTCTTTACCGAGGAGGAGCGCAGACTCATAATAATCCAGCCTATAAGTCATACCCTTAACCACAACTTGACCTGATATCACGTGTCACTTGGCGAAATGAATACTCAGTAATGTTAAACTTGTACATTACGTTATTTTAATCCCTCCTGGAGGTTGGTAAATTGATAATACATGATGGTCATTGAACTGAGTGGAGAGCAATTTGGTCTGAAATCATACGTGTGATTGGAGCGCGAGTTCGATTCGAGATCAGAAGTATGGTTTCAGACTAAAATTGCACGACACGAAGTAAAATTATCACTTTATTACAGCCATTTTGAAATCGCAAAATTTCATCCGTACCAGCAGTGACTGGCCGTGGCACCAGACAAGTTAGCTCGTTGTCCCCCATACTCGTTAACATATATTCTGAAGCTATGCTAAGAGATGCTAGCGCTTTAAGTGGTGTGAATGAAGGTATTCAAGTGGGAGGTCATCTCATTAAGACAGTGCGTTTTGCGGATGATCAAGCAACCTTAGCCAGTTCAGTTAAAGGTCTGCAACTTATGATGGGTAAAATGCAGGAAAGCGCGGGGGAATATGATATGAAGATCAATGTTAAGAAGACTAAGGTGAAGAAAATCTGTAAGAGGCCTGGTGATGAATTCACGATCTTTCTTGAGGGTAAACAATTCAGTCAAGAATCGTTGCACTTTAACCACCTTTGGAGCCTCATTACACAGGATGGATCCTGTTAAAACTAAATTAGATCGAGAATAGCCCGAAAACGCGGTTACTAAGAAAAAAGAACTGCTGACAAAAGCCTTCAGCGCGCTAGCCTTTGCCTGAAGAAGAGAATTATAGAGACTGTCATCTGGGGTACTCTTCTGAATGGAGCCGAATGATAGACCTTAAAGAAAGAGGACGTGCGAAGGCTGGAGAGCTGTGGGATGTGGCTTTGGAGAAAGGTTTTAAACATATATTGGTCTGACAAAGTCTGTAACGAAGAAGTATTGAGGCGTGACGGTGCGGAGAGTGCCATCATATCTGTTATCAACAGAAGACAGAGAGTCTGGCTTGGTCAAACCCTACGACATGGTGATCATGTCTCATTAGTTATTGAGGGAAGAAGACCAGGAAAAAGACCACCTGGAAGACCTCAAGCGGAAATGCTGGATAGAGTGAAGGATGGCAGCTTTTACGTAGCGGTCAAAATGCGTGCCTTAAATCGAGAACTATAAGGAAGGACCTGCCTGTGGGCAGATCAAATAGCCTGTTGAAAAGCGGAAACAAAAGGGCTTTTTCATCTCATTTGTATTCGAAACAGAAATGATGCGATATAAAGCAAGGTGCTACGGTGCAACAGGACAAGAGTAAACTTATTATACCTTGGAATCAGGGATAATCATTGGAACTATGTTAACTTTTAGACCTTGAAACACATTGCAATTAATTTTTAACCGTATTAAAAGCATCTTGGAATATTAAACTTTCATCTTGGATTAAAACATTGGAACTTTATCGAACTTTGTAACCCTGGGTTCGACCCTGGATAAAGCAAGCGGATGTTTTGTTTTGTTTTGTTCCATTAACCTAGATAGAACGCCATTATGCTTCCATAGACCAACGCATCCCACGGAAACGACTTTAGGCGTCTTGTTGAGGGAAGAATACCTGGAAAGAGACCACCTGGAAGACCTCGAGCGGGAATGCTGGATAGAGTGAAGGATGGCAGCTCTTACGTAGCGGTCAAGAGGCGTGCCTTAGATCGAGAACCATAAGGAAGGGCTTGCCTATGGGCAGATCAAATAGCCTGTTGAAAAGCGAAAACAAAAGGACTTTTACAGCTCATTTTGTATTCGAAACAGAAATGATGCGATGTCAAGCAAGGTGCGACGGTTCGACGTGGTTTAGAACAGATGTGATTGTGTGATTCGTAAATAAATCACTCTGCTGAGAGCTAATCAGATTGCAGGGATCACCAGCGATTTCAAAATGAAAAATTAGAAAAGCCTGATAATCTTTGATAAGAGAGCATTGATCTCTATTTTTTTTATTTTAGGGGGTACTCCATACCCTGGGATAAGCCCTATGAGGCTATGCAGTTTACTTAAATCTGGATATCGGATGGAGAAACCCAACACGTGCAGCGATGAAATGTAAGTCATAATAGAAATAATAAAAGACGCCCGAAAAGAGAGTACGATGAAGAAATACTTTCATAGTCCTTCAAACAGTTTTTTTTTTCTAAAATTGTCAGCCTTTTCCAAGGAGTGGAAACTGCAGCGCACCTCTTTCCTTTACGTTGCCCCATTCTAAAAAGAGCCCATAGAACATAAGTGTCTTCAATATTCAAAGTAAACGGAGACATATCTTTCTGTAGTGGTATTTTAAACTATGGCTTCCTTTTTCAACAGATACAAATTGATGATGGACTGCTGGAAGGAGGATCCAAATGAACGACCCTCATTCGTTCAACTAATACCGATACTGGAAGAGATGATGACAGAAGATACCCCTTACTATTATTTCAGACTCCTGGATCAGAACCAGCCATGTTACCGTGAGGCATCCGCCACTAACACCAGTAAAGCTAGTACTCTTGATACGAAGCTGTAATTTCTGTAGGGTCTCTACGGTTTGTGGTTTAATTTTTGTCAAAGCACCCTTTTTTTCTTTAGATTGTTATAGGGGTCTCGGGGGGAAGGAGGGGGGGGGGGGGAAGCTGCAATATGAAAGCATAGGGGAATGCTCGACGGATAAGTAGATTAATAATTTCAGTTGCACCGTCTGCAATACCAAGAAGCTATACCCATAAACTGAACACCGTTGTTTTCATCTTCACTGTTTGCCGGTATTCATAACCAGTCTCCCTCGGTTACGATCACAAAAAGCAGCCAAAGTAGAACACACTCTAACTCATTAAGACAACTTCTTTTTCTATATAGATATTTCTTTACGCACAACCCTAAAGCTACGTGCAAACGGACGCAACAACTTCCAACAATCTTGCTAGTTGTTGGCCAACAAAGTTACGTCCGTTTGCGGGGGTTAAGCGATACATTTATGGTTAAAAATAGTGGCTTTTTGTCTTGCACAGCCAAAGTGAGACCAAAAACTGCGATGTCTACGTTTAAGAGAGACGAGCAACCCGGTCATTTTCATATCGGGAGTTCCCTTGCCAAGCAAGGAACAGGACTGAGATGACGAGCACAACTGTTTAATGGGTTATTACAATAAGATACCTAATAATATTTAATTTCATTTCAGAGACATCGAGAAAATACTGAATAGCACTGGTAATATATCAATTGTAGGGACTAAAATCGGTTCATTCTCTGCAAATGACTATTAACTTGTTAGTAGTTCGGATTGCTTCTTTTACTTTTTTCAGTAGTCTGTCCACACTATACTGGAAATAGATTTTCGTGTCGACATGAAAATGTATCCGGTAGTATGAACGACAACCGTATAGAATTGGAACAAGTCGTCCATACACATCGAACATCGCACCAGAGCGGTCGGCAGGCCGAGAGGCCAGTTTGGTGTACTAAATTACAGTGCTCTCTCCTAAAAATATACTTTCATATCAGGTGGGTCCCAGCCTATGCTCCCTCCTACTCATTTCACCTGAAAACATGTTCACACTGCGACGAAAATTGGCAGAAACCCATCCGATATGTGATGATCCACTTTTCAAGATCGGCGGCGGCGCAGTTTCGCTCCTTAACAGAAATAGCCGGAAAATCACCGTTCTTCTAAATGAACTGACAAAAGCAAAATCCGGTATCATTTTCGTGTCGCTTTCCGGTATAGTGTGACTGATCATTGCCTTCAGAGTTCCTCAGACGCCAGATATTAACCTACCACGTAATTCCGTGGCTACAATTCAATGTTACGAACATTTCAATCGGCTAGGTTAGATTACAACGTTGCCACTCGCTATAAACATGTCTGTCATGTTGGAGAAACGAACTATTGACTCAAAAAGGTGACATCAGGAGTAAGGTGATAAAAGGCACTTCGGTTCACCATAACAATATTGCGGTGGTATAAGAAAAAAAGCTTAATTATTGTAGAGACCTTTGCTGGTGTTGAATAATAATTATAGTGATTATAGTTTAGATTTTTCTGTTCTTTCAAATAGTGTCATTAGCAGATCACTCGGGAAACCCACGTCTGGGTATGAAAAGTGAAGATTCGGATTATCAGGGCAGTTCGGAAAAAAATAACATTCCATTTCCGAACAATGCTGCCAATACAATAAGCAATACAGGAACCTTTGTAAAATTTCTGCAGCTAAGGTCTGGTTTGGAAGTCAGTATATATAACACACTATTCTCTAAAGGCACACAATCAGGGTCAGAGACGGGAAAGAAGTTATCCACCTCGGCGTTCATCCGATACCCCTCCTCGATCTGCATAATTTATATAATTCTTTTATTTAATGGCTCATACGCCAGTAACGAAGTCAGCACCAGCAAGAACGTTTCAATGGTTGATTTATACAACTATGCATTTATTCATTTAATACATATTGCGTATTTACATAATAATATTGCTTCATTTTATAATGATAATAATAAATTCTTGAATGGCAGGAGTAAGATAAAATATTGTAGGGGCTTCGGTATTAATGGGGTCACTTTGATATATCGTGCTATTATTCAAACTCATAGCCAGGCCAAGAAAACCAGAAGAAACAAAAGTCATCACTCTTCTTCCTCGTGTTCTCAGGACATGACGTCAATGGATATATCGACAGTGGCCTATTTCATAAACTAATGTCCAGCTTTTGTCAGTTTCTATATATTTGATGTCATTCTTTAAAATAAATTAAAGGCTTTTAAACTTTATCTGAGTTTGTGGTCATTTCTGAGTGATACGCCGAGAATCTCGAGAAAAGCAATCTCCCTGTTCCCCACAGGAAAGGCTATTCAGCCTAGTGATTTAAATTAGAGGAAAAGGGAGACCATTCTGTGGTATCTTTGTGTGCTAAAAGGTTAATCCAAATTACACATGTGCTTGATCACATGTCTGACATGTCGCACAAGGCAAAACAGGTAGTGCAAGATCTTTTTTCTCATACCAGCTAACTGATAAATAACCAATTGTCTAGTCTGTGTATACAGCAACCCCTTAGGATTTTTCCTAAGGAGGGCTATTTTGATTGTACCGGCGCAAATTAAATATCATAATTGGACTGGAGAGCGAACTAGTGAGACAATTTAAGCGTGAGTCAAAAACGAGGGTTGCAAAAAAGCCGGCTACTTGGGCTCTCTAAGAAAGGGCATAACAGATTTCGGAAAATATACTGGAAGATGGTGCGACAATAAAAATGCTTGTGGAAGTTGTGAAACGTCGCACGCTTGACAAAATTCTTGAAAGAAGACAACCTCTCTGACCATGACTCCTAAAACAAGCAAAACGACCCGTTCTATTTATTCTTCCTTTTTATATCTGCCTTAGGATAACAATATTCTTATTCTTAGTAATATTCTATTTCACCATAACCGTAAGTGGAACAACTTGACCACCATATTTTTGGCAAGACCGCAGCAGTCTTTATAGGGCAAATTACGTTTTTTAAGTAAACGACAGAACTATGCGCCTTAAAATACAAGCATTTACAGTAGTTCTGTAAAAGCAACCAAGGATTTGCCAAGAAGAATAAAGCTGCGACTGGATTTGGGAGTTCTCGTCAAGTATTTCCACAAAATTTAACAAAGATATTTTTGTACTTGTATATCAATTACGAGCCTTTGGTTGTAAACCAAGAAAGGTTCAATAACTTTGACGGTTCTCCACAAAGTATTTTTCTACCAGCATCCCCGAAAACCAAACGAATTCACACTGCAGTCATCCTTAAAAACGGACTTTCAATAGCATGGAGTGAGGAATGCGTGAGGTTCTCGAGGGGCCTTAGTTAAGCCAACTGAGAATCTAACACGCCATATTTCCCATATTTCACGGGACCAGGAAAAATGTTCTTTGCGGGGCCTTTCTTAGGGTAATAACAATCTGGTGGGCGCTTCAACATCACGCCAAACTCGGACGAAAGGGTCGGTGCTGGTGGTGGTGGTGCAGGTTTTTGAATTGATGTATTCTCTGGAACTAACTCAAGACTCTTTGCTCGGGATAAACCCGGATTATTTGGTCTCGGCGAGCTTTTGCTCGCTTGGCTGAGTTCGCTTCTTGCGGATATATTGGGATCACTATGGACAGTCGAAGGTTTTGATTGTTTCCATGGATTGTGAAGGCCACCAAAGAACCCACGAGCACTCGAGAAAAGCAGCCCAGCTGTACGACTGACAACACCCGCTGACCTAGGCGCGTCAGCACTAGAATGACTTTCAGGGGAAGGCTCGGGTCCGTTGGACGTTTCATAGCTAGGACTGTCAGGTAGAAGTTCAGGTGTACTGGACCCTTTACGCTTGCGATGACGTTTCTTCTTACTCTCACTGGTATTGAAGGTATTACCCTACAAGAAATAGAGTACTACAGTTAGTAATCATTTCTAGATTAAGAGTGTTTCTCAATAGTGACCGTTAGATTCTAACACGAGGACGACTACAAGGAAGAGGTTTTGTCAATGGCACGAAGTGCGAGGCGTGAGCCAACATCATTTTGGCGGGAAAACGTGACAGCCATGGTCATTCTACTACGCGTTTTAACGAGAATGTCATTGAGGCGGAAATAAGTTATCAAATGTTAGAAGTTTTATCATTCTGCGATCGGGAGAGGGCTCAAACTCCTTCAATAAAAATAACCGTTCTAACTTTTCTAGTAAAAAAGTGCAACAAAACTTTTCAGGATTACTATTTTCTGAGAAGGGACAAAAAAACCTCTGAGTCGTCCATGCTCACAAATCTAAAGGTCTCTATTTTAGAATTGCTCCCTGCGAAAGAAATTCCAGCTTGATCAAAGTAGTGTAATATTTGTCGTGTGAGGAAGCAGCATGAAATCAGAGACAAGAAATCCTACTATCCTGTAAATACAGCCTACTCACATCGTTCCACGCCGTCCAGTCGGGACATTTATTAGGGAGTTTAAGATACGGCGACTACGGACTACGACTACGGTTAAACATGCTATTGCGCATGATCAAAACCACGTGACTGTTCATTTTTCCCGCGTAGTCCTGCGGCTACGGTGAGTTGTTGAGCTGTTTCGCGTAGTCGGGACTACGGAGAACATTTTGAATCAGTGAAAGGTTCCGGCAATTCTGCTGTTTTACAAAAAGATCAACTCTGCTACTTGAAAAGAGCAGAAAAATTAACTTTCTGCATTTATTTTTTACAGAACAACATGCAAAATTGTTACCTTTTTTGTTAATGCTAGTCGATCAGGTAAAAAGTTAAAAAAAGGTACCTTTTTAGAAAAAAAGGCGGGTATTTGAAGCTTCCGGGCGAAAATATTTGAACGTCAATATTGTCCGCTTTTCATCCATTTCTCACTTTACCAAACAAAAGTTTAAAGCGTGAAAAAGGTACCTTTTTTTCCGTTTGAAGTGATCTCTTCAAAAGCGCGAAAAAGGTACCTTTTTGTGGTTTAGAAAGGTTCCTATCAAAAGAGCAAAAAAGGTACCTTTTTTGCGGTTGGAAGCGATGTTCTTATAAGTGCGAAAAGGGAACCTTAAAAATAAATGGCGTTTTCAAACTATATTTAAAAGCCGTTTCAAATCCTACTGATTGACAGATGTCAACCGTTTGGGGCCATTTGTTTTGCTTGAATTGACTGACCCACGAGTCAAGAGACAAATATGGTGGAATAAATGGAAAGCAATGTTACTTTAATAAGGAATCTCATTGAAGACAATAAAACGTACAAACATGTCGGTGAAATTCTCGGACAAAACTTTCCAGAAGTAACAAGAGGCTTTTCAGAAAGAAACGTGCGATTGTTTTGTGCTAAATATGGGATAAGACGACTGAACGAATACGAAGTGGATTCCATCGTTCAGAAGTGAAAAAAGGCACCCACGAAACAAAACAGTTATTATGATAACCCGCTCAGCTTAGACTCAAGAAAAAAACACTTCTCTGCTGTTTGTCGTAGATCGACGTAGAATCTGATATTTTTTTTTTCGCAGATTAAAATGGTTCGACTTTTCATATAGGACTTTTTTTAAGTCTTCGCAAAACGCTTAAAAATGGAACGGCTTGCTTAGGTCCTCCACATGCATCTAGTTTGAAAGAACCAGTAGCTATTTCATCCATTTGGATGGTAGCCAGTATTTTGGGATCTCTTCAGTCTAGTTTCTCAATTTTGATCGGCTAAAAGGAGCCAGCTATTTTTTTTTTCAGTCCGATGATTCCCCATAGTAGACCCTCGTCCACGTACGTAGCTCGGAAAATATGCCAATAATGCAGGACGCGATAATTATAATATTGCGCGTCCGAGCCATTTCTGTTAAATAGCCGGGGCCACTGAAGAATAGCCTCCCATACAGGTGTTTCTAGGGCAGTCTAGGATGGGTTTTGCTCGTTTTAATTAGATTCGGGACTGCGAAATTCGATTGTAGAAACGGGACATAGAGTCCCCTAAAAACGTCTGTGTATCGTACGTTAGCGGCGCCAACGGTTGCTTGACATCTGTCAATCAGTAGGATTTTAATTGAAACATCATTTATTTTTAAAGGTGCCTTTTTCGCGCTTTTGATGAGATTGCTTGTAACCGCAAAAAAGGTGCCTTTTTTGCTCTTTTGATAGGAACGTTTCTAAACCGTAAGAAAAGTACCTTTTTCGCGCTTTTGAAGAGATCGCTTCAAACTGAAAAAAAGGTACCTTTTTGGCGCTTTAAAGTTTTGTTTGGTAAAGTGAGAAATGGATGAAAAGCGGACAATATTGACGTTAAAATATTTTCACTCGAAAGCTTAAAATACCCTCCTACTTTTTTTCTAAAAAGGTACCTTTTTTTAACTTCTCACCTAATCGACTAGCATTAACAAAAAAGGTAACAAATTTGCATTTTGTTCTATGAAAAATAAATGCAGAAAGTTAATTTTCTGCTCTTTTCAAGTAGCAGAGTTGATCTTTTTGTAAAAAGCAGAATTGCCGGAACCTTTCACTGATTATTTTGCTCGTATTTTGCCGTCTCGGTAATTCAAGAATCTCGTCTTTTCGTATAAAAAAGTTTTCAATTCACCTGCTTTAAGTGAGAGGGAAGCGAAATCTGTAAGTTGTGTCTAATTTCTGCTCAGATTTACGCTTTTAATCCACTGTTGTGACTACATTTTTATCTAGCTAAGCTCATATTTAAATAAGCTAAGCTGTTTATAAGCAGAATTCAAATTGACGGCCCAGGAGAAGAGAAATCATGCAGGTAATTTACTTTCTCTTCGCACTTGAAAAGTTTCAATGTTTGTTCTAACTGACTAATGTGTCTTTCTACTTGTGTAACCTTTGTTTATGCGAGTTTTTGTATCGCATTTGCTAAATGAAAATGATGTAAACATCTTCGAGACAATCGAAACTCGGCATTTCAATACTTCAAACTATATCAGATTAGTACGTTGGAGAATCTAATAAATGAGCTATTATACTATTTCTGTCTATTTCTTTAGTATTTGACATAAGTATTCATGGGCGAAAAAAATAAAACCTGTGTAACCAAAACTTTGTTCACCAATTTCACCCGACGTAATTGCTTCCTTCAAATATGGAAGAATTTGTTCATTGATCTAAAGATAAGATCACATGCAAAACTGACTTGCATTTTTGTGAACTGTGATGAAAACAAGAAAATCTTTGCGTGTTGTTTCCCTCTCCGCCTCTTCTCTCGTAGTCTACTGTCTGTAGTGCAATCTTAACGTTCTATATTTGTACGACTCAACTCAGTGCTACAAACAAAAGACAACGCTCGTCCAGCCGTAGTTCGTAGTCCGTAGTCTCCGTATCTTAAACTAGGGAGCTTTAGCAACGACGACGGCGACGGCAAATAGGACGTCAAAAAAGCAATAGCTTTATTACGCAAAACAACAACTTTGCACGTGTATCACGCTTTTTTGTACATTTCTTTACCGTCCTTGCACGACTACGACGTGAAAATGCCTAATTGCAAGTTTTATGGAGGACGTGAACAAGCGACGACGAATCTCTTTTTCTCTCTCTAAACTTGAGTGCGGTCAACTCCAGGGAAATTCGCCTAAACTTGCCATTTTCAGCAAATTGGAGTAAACGCGACAAAGATTGAAAAAACGGGAATTCATTTTAAAACTGACGTTTTCCCTGCAGTTGCCGTCGTCGATGCTAAAGCTCCCTATTTCCTAGCGACGGAGAGCGACGAGAGGCGGCTGTATTTGCAATGGAACAGTATACACCCTATTCTTTCCCCTTCTGGAAATAAACAGAACTGGCGAATGATAATTCGAGCTTACTCTAGAAACCTTCTAGTGGACTAACATTTAACATTTAAATTCAAACATCAAGGACTAGCTTTCACCATTCAATTATAAAATACACAACTGCATTGTGTGAAAACCTGCCTTTACTAATTTGTTGTCATGGTGATCTGTATCAGTGCCGCCTTCGATACTCTCCGGTTCCGCCATCTTGACAAAACTGAAAAGAAGCTGTTCTTTTCCACTTAACCTAGGAACTAAAATAAAAAACAAATAAATAACTAAAAAAATAAATACGTTAGTACACTGTACACATTGGACCGACAATAGATGTTTCAGTAAATTGCAATGTGGTGGTAAAAATGAACAAATGAATGAACAAAATATATTGCTTCGATATCACAAATAAAGGGTTCTGAAAACCTCTTGTTGCATAAATGCGTTCTGAAGTATAATTGATATGAACATAATATTCATTGTCATGCAGATTAAACTGACTTTCACGAGAAAACAATGTCACTTAGCCTCGTTTTGGAAATGAGAGTTTTTGGAACTCAGAAATAGCAAACTAAAAAGTAATCCAAATTGATATTTTTAACTACTAAGCAGAACGTAAGGAGGTATGTGGGGAGACATTTCATGTTGATATCAAGTTGATAAAATGCCAGATGAATATTCCTAGTGCACGAACGTAGTACTCACCTTCAGACAAGACAGTGGCTTTGCTGCGTTTGCTATCTTCAATTGCAAGTCGAGGGGGGCCATGACCGTTCAGTAGGTGCGCTGACCTCCCGGGTGAGTTAGAAGTCACCTGATTATTGTTTCTATTTGCAAACAGTATAAACAGAAGAAGAATTAAGACTATTTCAATGCAAAGACCGATAACATGGCGCTCCATCACTTCCTTATTGAGTGGATCCATACGGGCTTTCATATCACCAACTGCGTTGGTCAGGTTATCCAGCTTTGATTGCAGTTTAGTGATCTGTTCCTTTTGGTTGTTGATCTGTATAAGGAAATGTGTAAAGTGTACATTTAAAAAGAAGTAACGTTGGTTCGATTAATATGTGCATGTAAACAAGACACTCGCACAGGAAATCGTCTACACTGTATAGTTCGGGAGTATGCCAGTTTTGGAAGAAGCGATGACGTCATGATTCCATTGTTCTGCTAAAAATACGCAAAAATGGGAAAAAATAATCGCCACAAACAAGGGAGCTTTTTTTAAAGCCTGTTCCAGGTTCACTCGTTCAATATCTGGGACTTCTGAGCTAGCAGCGCTGATGAAGAAGCCTTTTCCTTGCTTTTTGAATGTCAAGAGCAGTTTCGTGCCGCATTACGGTAGTTAAAATCGACAGTTATCGAACAGCGTTCGAAGACGTCGCCGCCATCTTGACGGGCATCGAATGTAAGTACATGTCTTTATGTTTAGTTTTCAGTATCTTGCCGAATTTTTACGAAATCAAGACTAATTTTCCTCAAAACAACAACGTGTAAGGTGTGTTCAGGCAAAGTTTCATCGATGGTAACAACCTAGTAAAAATGGTAACCACACATTGTAAATTGCCAACGGACGGGAAGGGTTACTATATTGATGGTTATGCCTTAGTCTGTCTATGTATTTTTAGTTAGAAGCGATCAAGTCTGTCTTTGGTTGTGTTCACCGGCAGTGTATGCGACTCTGATCTAGAAATCACTTTATTGATCCAGATCATGTGTGTGGAATAAGTTTTAAATCAGTGTGAGTAGGTTCTTATATTGATTTCTTATATTTTGATGAGGATGTCCGTCCAAAATGTAGACAAACATCTGGACATATTACAAACATGTTGTCGCGTTTGTGCCAAAAAGCTGGGAACAGGAACGAGGAAGACAAATGTTAAATATCTTCAGAACGACATATTTGTGCTCTGAGGGCAAAAGGTTGCTTTAGATTCGTCTCATATTACTCTGTAATAAAAAATTTAATGTCCAAATTCAACCCTTCCTCAGTAAAATCAAACATGTGTTTTTGTTTCTTTGTAGTGTGGTCACAGGCTTACCTACCACCACAAAAGCCCCTCCTCCCTCTCAAAAATGGGTAAGAGGGAAACAGGTTGGACGGGGGGGGGGGTTTATATACCTTGTGAGTGGAAGCTGACACTCAATGACCATTCAACCATAGAAGAGACTGTGGCCCTTATTCAAGGGGCTTTAAAGGAGATAGATGAGGAAGGAGTCATGGAAGTGGACACTTGTGAAGATTTTCTCCACATAATGTTCAATCCCTTGCGTCAAATATTGTTTATCCTTTACAAATGCCAAATACATAATATGTTCAGTCCCTGTGCTGTGCAAAGGTCAATCTGAAACAGGAAAAATGCCACACTCTCCCCCATCAATACCTTTGCATGAGCAATAAGCCCACATTTTATGTCATAATATTGAATATGTTTGTATTTGAATAAATCCTAAATTATTGAGATTCTCTCGATGAAAAAGCATTTATATTAATGTATCCCTCCCTAATAAATAATACATGAGAGACATATTGAAAACCTATGTCAGCTGCTACTGTCTTCATTATATCAATTAAGCTTTGGTTTTTGGTTTTCATGTCCAAGAAGGTGTTAAAAAACAAGATTTTGAGATATAAGAGTGTGTATAATATGCGAGCCAGCGAGCCGTGGCAGCGAGTCATGCAGGTCAGATACGACTCATTGAAAAGAATACATAAAAATCGAAAACAGTAATACCGAAAGAATTAACTAAAAGCTAACCATGATAAATAAGTGTTTAACCCTAAACAGCACTTAATCATAACCCTAACCCCAACCTAAACCCTAATCAGTAAAATGAGTGCTCAACCGTAATCTGTAAAATTTGAAGTTTTTTCTTGTTTTTACTTTATTTTTGCTGATGGTCTGCGTGACTTGCATAGCTCCCTTGCTTTCAGTTTATGTCAGGACCGGAAATAAAATGTTTATTTACAAAAAGCAAAATGTAACAATAAAATTAATAATTTTTATAATTGTATCTTTACTCTGATGTGTGAGCTTTGTTTTCTTGAAAGTGCTGTTCAATAGAAACATGGAGAACTATGAAAAAGAACTTTGGAAAACTTATGTTGTGTCCATGCCAAGTGCAGCAATCATTATTATTTTGGGCCAAACCTTGTCTAACAGAATTGTTTGAGGGTCCCCACAGAGAAGACTTGGAGAAAAGTGCTCCTCAAAGTTACAATGCCTTTGGTTTGAAGGCAACCCCAGAGTTAAAAACAATAATTTAGTATTATTCGGATATACATCAAATCCCATATAAGAGGGTATTTTATAACAACCCATAACCCTGTTGATCTCTGACCTCTGGTCAAATCCGGTGGACTACAAGACTAAAGTATCCCATTTCAATCAATATATCCAAAAACATGTAACAGGCATTCTTAGTTTTCCAATATGTATATTAAATTCTAAAGAGTCTCTTGCATTTGTTAAGCTTGAGCAAATAATCAGTGAACTTCAGAGAGTGGAATAATTGAAAGCAGTAGGTTTTTTGGAAGCGGGACAAAGAACAAATGATCAGGGATGATAAGCAAGATTTTCACTTTGTGGATTTTCAAGAAGAAAACGCGAACACAATACCCTCAGAAATCCCTTGTAAACCTGTTGTATACCTGGACGGAACCGGTTCAGGACATACACCAACAGAACATCATATTCGAAAAAAACAGATATTTTACTCACAAATGACTCGCTTGCACCAAAACAATAACCTGAATTACAGCCGTCTTCTCTGGCCAGTCGCTCACTCCCCGAGAGAGAAACAGAAGCAACGGGAAAAATTATAGTAAAACTTACTCTTTGCAAACATAAGGAAATAAATTATAGAACAACTCACTTTTTTAGTTGTTTCCAAAGCATTCTTTTTTCTTATAATATAAAAAATTAATGAAAGAAATAGGCACAAACTTGTTGCGTGCTTACCTATTTTCGATGTACTGATTACATACGCTGTGAGTACGAAGTGCCTACAAAGCGCGCAATAAGCGAAGAACTATAGCGCAACAACGGTTACTCCTTGTCCTCAAGGTACTTCCCAATTCATAGTAAGGAGAAGACAAATTAAAAAGCTCGATGAAACAAGAATAAACGAGAATTTCTGTCAATACTCTTTCCTCTCCCTTGTCCGCCATTTTGTATGTTTTGAAAATGACCATCGCCATGGTGATCATGTTATGGTTGGTGACGTAGACCATTGTTTTCGCTTCTTCCAAAACTGGCATACTCCCGAACTGCTGTAGAACGTATACCAAACGCGGCGCTTGATGGAACGTGGCGAACGCCATCAAACGTAAATGGTTGCGCTACAGGTTCTACCATCGTTAGACCAGTGTTGACGTTATCTTCAAGTGACGGGCCAATAGAGAGCATCTGGGTGGGAGTAAGTTTGAAACTGTCTTTCACAGCAGTTAAAGGAGCTGTGTCAGGAAATTCAGCCAAATTAGGAAATTACAAAATGCCCGTTAAATTAAGAGAAACATAAAGATAACTGCTTAAAACATTAAAGGAAGGTTAAAATAACACAACGGAAACAACAAATGCCACGGATGGGCAAAACTGAAGAAGATTGAAACGGATTGAAATTAGGGTTTTTGAAAACTGTTCAGCCTAACAATTTTTCAAAGTTGATCCCTGCTGCTTGCAACTTCAAAAATAATACTCGGGAGACATTTGTTTGTCTCGGATCTCTGATTTTGTCATTTACATGTAATTTCTTTGCCTACTTTAAGTTCCATAGCGATTGGGGGTGAGTAATTGGCAAAATTAATCAAAATGAACTGGACTGCCGTGACACAGCCCCTTTAATTCATCCAACTCGAGCTTGTTCCATAGCTTTAATTCGTTGAGCACTTAAGATCGTTGACAAGGAGCACGCTCAGTCGAAATTGGTGTGTTGCAAAGTAGGGCATTCACGCCAAGTTATTTTTATTGTACTAATCTCGTCCAATCTCAAACGGATAATTTTTAAGAGGACGATAAACAAAATTCCTGTGAACGTTCATTTTCGCGAATTGAGGGGTAGAAAATGCACGGAAGAGTTACCACCAACTAATAAGAACCTACATTATTTGAGGCCTGGCAAACAAGGCTCTTTTATTTCGGGGTAGTTATTGGTAATTTAGTCTAAGAACGTTCTTTATTAGGTTCTTCATTTCTGTGAAGGAGATATAGTTGTTGACTACCAGAAAAATAAAGAAACTTGAGAGTTTGGTCCTTAAATATACAGTGTTCATCAGTCCTCCTTTCGACGCTCGAACAGAAGAAATGAAACGGAACTCTCAAAATATATTTGGACTTTACAAGACACTAAGAAATCTTTCCAGATATAAAAGTTTTAACGAAATGTAAAGCCTATAGCAACATTGGCAAAAAATGTAATCTATGTCTTTATGAAAAGTTTATCATCATTTGTAAAAAAGAGCTTTGTAGCCTAAACAGGCGAAACGAACTGGCGAGTTCATGCCCCCACAGAAACAGATATGTACTTCAGAACCCTAGAGTAACGTAACTAAGACACAATCCATCTGTTACCTAGATACTATCTCTTAACGCATCCCTATATTTTACTGCCAGCTTTTAATTTTAACGGTCAATCGTTGAAGTTGCCTGATGAGTGTGGTCCTACAATTTCGGACCATACGAAACAGCACTGTCGCAATAAACGAACAATGATTACTCCTGAAGCCTGAACTCCTGTGATTATTAATAGTTTATTCACAACTGTACTTTGCAAACCCCTCATGTAAGGTTCATGAAGACAATTACAACTGTACTTTTTATAAACATTTTTTTCGTTGGAGGAATTACAGTAATACGTCTATCTGTAATTCAGTTTGGTGTGAGTATCTTCTTGAAATATCACTTGGCAATCTCGAAGTCAAACTCCTTGGTAAAAATGTTTATCTTTACAGTATTTACCTGTAAGACACATACAAGAACCTGCTTGATTTTGCTTGGCTAAACAGGTTCTTACATTTTTAGGTATTAAAATGCCAAATTTCTGCCAGCAGGTCCTTAATCCACAGGTTCTTACAAATGTATTAGCGGGTGTTTATTGTATTTTGGGAAGGTTCAACTTCCTCAGATCAATGTTAAGCTAAGAACATGTTGTGTAGGAAACACTCGCTTCAACAAAGGTTAGAATTACTGATCGCTTCGTAATTCTCACCACTTTTTCCCAACACTAAGAATTATAAAGATTATACATACAATAGTCTCTGCCTTCTTGGTAGCATTGGTCAACAGGGCAACTTTCTTATCTGAGTTCTTCTGTAATTCTTCCACTGACTTGCGGTATCTGTAACCGGAAATAAGGCAACTCCTATTAGCATCATAAAGCATCAACTTTGTTTCTCTTGATAAGATCAAAACCAGACAAACACAACGTGCATTCTAACAAGAAAAGACACAAGGCACAAGCTACAGTTCTGAAGATTTAAACCTGTTTAACTCCCCCCCCAGCAAAAAAAAAAAAGAAAAGAGGGTGGGTGGGGGGAGTAGAATCTTCGCAATGACCTTAAAAATAAGCCTGAATTTCAGACAACTATTTTGAGTCGTTTTTACTCCCTCAGTAAGGTCTGAATTTCAGGCTACATAAACATAACTTCTCTGAAGAAGGAACTAAAAGATACGAAGTGATGGGATTGTCCCTAGCACTTTCTTCGAGAACTCTAAACTACTTTTATTTCACTCTGGTCATGTACTACGGTAAACGCATTTAGAGATCAGCTACAACTGTGATCTAAACCGGTTGATACAAATTGAAAAAGACCTGTTTTTCCTGTCATTCGGACTAAAATGAAACCCCTTGCTTAAATTAATTGTCTTACTCCCCCTTCCTCTCTTCCAACAATTGTTGGAGTAATACCAGGGCCTGGTTCCTCGAAAGTTGGTTAAGTTTAACCCAGGATTAAGCCTAGTTTTAAGCAAGGTTTTCTTGTCTAAGGACATGCAACTCGAGCTAAAAAAAATACTGTTGAGCCTTTACCCCGAGATACAGTAATGATAACACAAAAGGTTACTCTAAGCAATACGTAGGAAGGTAAATTACAAAAATGGAACAAAATTTTAATCTTGGATTAGTGCTAATCGACCTTTCAGGAACCGGACCCAGAGCCGGGTTGTTCAAAGCTGGGTTAAGATAACCTAGGGTTAGTGCGAAATATGAATTCAGATATGAAAGGTTAAAAAGTAAATTCAGTTTAATTCTTTTTGTCAACAAGTTGATATTTGGATGGTCTTAAAAACAACAGAGCAAATTATCCGAGAAAATGCTTTCGAAAAAAGAAAAAGAAACTCGGGTTAAATTTAACCCTGGGTTTAGTGCTAATCGGCCTTTGAACAACTGGGCCCAGAATTATATACACGGGTTTAAAGGCCAAACCACTATTGAATAGGGGAGGGGTTGGGGTAATTTTATTAGATGTTTAGAGGAGATGGTAATATAGCGCGTAATTCAAAAAAATTAATAGATGGAACCATCTAAAGAGTGGTGTCCATCAGGTTGTACATGTATGTGTAGCTTTAGCCTGGGACCAGGCTCCATAGTGGAGGAAAAGGCAAAAAACGGGTCGAAACAGCCAAAAAAAGAAAAAGACAACAACAACTACAACTACAACAAAAAAACATGGACTGGGGTGTGGGAAAGGTCATTTCCGCCACTTCATTTGCTGATTTTTTTTTCCGCCTTTTCCCTTTTGGGGCCGGAGCCTGGGCCCACACAAATAAAGCTTTAAAGAGAACATGGTGCTGTAACCACTTGTATCAACGAGAGATTGAAGAGATTTGTAAAAGTTACCTCTGATGCAGCTGTTCCATATACAGGGTACTCATGTTCAAATTCTGTTCCAGAACCTTGATCTTGTTACTAAGACGAACAAATATGGATTCCTTCTGCCCTCCTGACCCGACCCCTGACGATAGTCCAGCTGAAGAAGAAACAGCGGCTTGTTGAGCTTTGCTGAGGATTGAAGTATCAAGAGTGGCTTCTGCTGACGATGCTGCAGTTGAAAACTCATGGCTAGGTAAGCGTGTGTCTCCAATAACAGGAGGAGCTGGCAAAGGAAGAACAGGGTCTGAAGTGTCAGTAATGTCAATACTAGGAGGAGTGGTAGGCTGAATAACTGGATCCACATTTTCAGATTCCAACATTTTCGATGTCGATTTTGTGCTTTCAATACCCGGCTCCTGGTTGTCCAAATCTGGTTTCAATCCTTCACCTTCTGTTGTAACTGGTTCTAAATTTATCCTTGAAAAATCAGTTGCTTTGGTTGATTCTGACGCTTCACTGGCACTATGTATAGGCTCTTTTTCTAAATGTACCTCTTCAGGTAATTGAGCAGTACCCTCTCGTCCATCTTTGTCAGTGAGTTTTGTCTCCAAGACGTCAATATCTGGAGAAGATTGTGACATAATGTGAATTGAATTTGGCCCTTTGCATTCTGATGGTGTAGCTTCGGTTTGATCTTTACCCTTGCTACTGTTTAATTCATCAATAACAGTTACATTGTCTTCTACTTTCTCTTCATCTTTGGAACTTATATCCTTCACATTCAAAGGCAATGGCTGTTGAGAAGTGCCTTTTGTCACAGAGTGTGCCTGTTCACTTCCTAACACAGTTGACGGTCTGTCAGGAATGCTTTGTACAGGTTGTAAATTTAACTCCTGCTGATCGTGTAACTTGGATTCACCTTGTGGAACATCAACAAAAGAATCCTTAATTACTGGCACTTGGGAACTTTTAAGTACCGCAGACGAAGAAGCCGGCAGAGTGGCATTTAAGGGTAAGGACGTAACAACTGACACTTCTGGTAATGAAGGGGTTTTGTCATCAGTTTCCCTCTTCCTCTCATTCTCTGAAACGAAAATGTTTAGTGACTCGCTAGGCTGCAAAACTCCGGGCGAAGGGTCAACATATTCTGAAACTCCCGATGCACCTGAGCTGGTAACTTCTTTTGATATTTTCAGAACGCTGGAAGACATTTCAGGAATGATAACAGAGAATTCTTGGTCTACGATATCTAATTCAGCACTCTTCTCTTCTGAGTTGTCAGCAGTAGATGGCTCTCCAGCCTGTTCTGCAGGAACTTTCTCTTGGTCTTGACTTTCTTTCTTTTCATAAGATTCACCTTTATCTTTTTCATGAGCTACAATTAAATTTCGCTTGTAATCACCACTCGTGGCTAAATTCATTGATACTGTAAAGTTTTCATTCTTTGAAAACAGTATTCGTCCCACAAAACACCCCAGACTGTAGTGCCCCAATACCTGAGCAAACAACTGGCATGCTGACGGAGCAGGGCTACATGTACGAGTCTCTACCTCGTTATCTGCTTTGCTGCAAGGCGGACTATCTTCATGGCTTATATTACCAGACACACATTTTCCTTGTGAAGCATTTCTATCACCTCTGTGACCTTGCTTTACTATACAGGCATTGTCACCACTCATTTGTGAATTTTCGTTGAGCTCTTCATGACCAACAAGAGTGACAATTTTGCCCTTGCTTTCACCTTGGGATTCCTTCTCAGAAGCAGTCATTTTATTGTCTTGGGCGCCGAGTTTACTATCATCTCCTTCCTTATCTTGCTTGTTATCATGCCCATTTCCAGTGAATTTCTTGACCAGATTAAAAACTGTATCAGCTGCTCTTTCCAGCAGATTTTGCTCCTTGGGTTGATCTTCAACCTTGGCACTAGGATCAGGAGGTAACACTGGCACATCACTGTCACTGTCACTGTTATCATTCTCTTCCTGTCCATCTGTTTCATGGTCTTCCAGCTCTTCCATCATGCTGCTGCCGTGCACACGCAGAAGGCTCAGTGGGCAGTAATGCTCTGAGCCAAAGTGACTCAACATCTCAACCTAATTGAATGAAGGACAGCACATAAGGTACTTACAGAGTTTATGTCACACTATTTGCTACAATGTATCTGTTTAATTCAGCTAAAAATTGTCTTCGCATCGACTGAATTCCAAAAAAAAGAAAGAAATTTCTACCTACAAGGTACTTAAAATAAGGGATTCGTTAATAAGACAATCATAGGTGTCATATGTGCAATGTCTTGTTCTTTAAAGCCTTAGACGAAACAAGCATGATAAATGTGTTGTACACTAAATATGTCGCTCATTAAGCCACAAGAAGGCGAAAAAGGCATGATATATGCGTAATATATCTCGTTCTTTAAGCCTCGATGAGACAAAACAAGTGCGATGAATGTGTAATAGGATGTTAGAAAGTTGCTGAACATAATAAACCTTCTGACCACAGCTGTTCAAAACATGGATTATGATCTAAGATCTTTGCACCACAGTCTACTAAGGCATAATTGCTTTGTTTCCGTTCCTTTAATTTCTTGGGTTTGGGTGCAGCTCCACTTGAGTTCTCAGCACTCTGCTGTTTACTTTTCTCTTCTTCTTCCTGTAAAACTCTTCTTTTAAATTCATCAAATGAAGGCATCTCTTCTTCCTTCAGTTTGGTTTCCTCTTCTGCTGCTTGGTTTAAAGCTGCCATTATGCTGTCTTCTTCCTCCTTTGGACTTGTTGCTGAAGGTGCAGCAGGCGTGGGCTCACTGCTGATTGGATTTGGAGGGCTGCAATAGTAAACAGATAAAAATTATCTGTAAATAATATAATATAAGGTATATAGAGGAAACTAATGGTGTATTATTTTCATTCTTTAAATTTACCCTTTCATCTGTTTTTCACCTTGTGGTATTAATTTTTTTAATTCATTGCACTGTAAAGTTTACTTACACGGAGTCTAAAACTGAAGAGAACACCTTTGGCTCTTTTGTTGCTACCACTCCCTCAGAGAAAGTGCCAGCTCTAACATTTTGACTTCCCTGGGACGACTGAATCTGGCTTGGATTACTAGGAGGTATAAGGATTACTGATGAAACCATGTATTCCCTTGGTTGTGAGTATGAGTCACTGCTACTTGCGTGGTTTACGACAGTAATGGACAAATCAGCATCATAGCTTGGGGTGGCTGGAGCCACTGTTGGTGTAACAAGTTCTTCCAGTTCTGATGTGGACAAGAAGACACTTGAGGAGGCTTCTCGTGATGTGATCAATGATAAAGATAAAGGCAATTCTTGAGATTCTTTCTGTAACAAACGAAAGAGTGAAATAAATTTTAAAGAGTTCTTAATTACGCCACTTAGGCAAAGTCACTCTACCAAGATCCCCTTCCTCCCTGTGGAGGAGGAGAGAAACTCTAACCAATAAATTTCTACAGGAAAAGAGAGTTGTGAATCACAACACTTATCTACCTGAAGTTCATTTCCCTACAACAGGTCTTAAGCGTGGAATGAAATACTCAGCTGCATGTACTTTAATAGACAATGTCACTTTTGAATTTTAAGGCGGCTACATTTCTGTAGCCAGTAGATGGTAATGTAGCAGCCAGTTGAACATGTCAGGGCAATTTATCATGTTAATGAGTTAATTTACTAAAACGTGTTAATTGATAAGTCAAGCTTTTATTAATCAATTGGTTGTACGAGCCTTCATTGACAACAGCATTGGTTGTCTTCAATTTTCTAGGCTGTGCAGTTTTAAAGAGTCTGTGGCTGTGCTTTGGAGAGGAGGGTATTTAAAACTACTGTATTTACAGTATACAATTTACGTGTACTTTATCAACAAAGCACATACATTATAAAACCAGACCCAGCAACTGATTGCAAGGTGTTTCAAGAGCTGAAAGGTCAAGTAAAACAGGCAACATTTTTGTTCAAGTTGTCAGAATCCATTAGAAGTTAAAAAGTATTTTTGCCCATATTACAAGCTGAACAAGCAACATGTTGCACAAAAAATTTCAGTTCAACACCCAAGAGTGAAGACACTGTATTTGTTCATACAAATAACTCATTTGAGGCCCAAAAATATGAGTTATAAGTCACTCCTTGTAACCAAAATTATCTCTCATTTCAAGTCCCAGTGTGCAAAGAAATTTGTGTCCAATAGCCTGCGGCTAGGGGATTGTGCTATTGGGCTAGTGAATTCTGTTCTTAACTAATTGCCCGCTGGGCAGGTTAAGTTTTTTGGGGAATTCAAATTACAGATATACAATCCTGCTCATCAAATATTTTTTTCAGGGCAGTTAAAGAGACTCTTAGGCTAGTGCATGCTAGATACAGCTCGCCCAAATGGCAAACTGTCAAACTGACTTTCTTTACTCCCTGAGTCCCTTTACAAATTGGTGGAAATCCCTCATCATCCAAAAATAAATCAAATCCCCCATAAAAAACTTTGCAGGGTTATCGTTTCGCATCCTCTAGTATTAAACTTAATACAAAGGTGGCTATACACTGCAAGACTCACTTTTTGAAAGGCCAACATGTGTGAAAAAACTTGACTTATCACAACGTACATATATACAATGTAGGATTTTCTCAATGAGCCGCAACTTACATGTACAACACTAAGAGTTTTAACATACACGCAAGCGCAAATAATTTTTTTTTCTGTGATCTGAATTTTCTTTACAGTTATTAAATTTTGAGTGCTTTAATTCATGAGAAATTTTATTTGCATCTTTAATTTCCGGATTTGTTTTAGAATTGCAAAAAATACAATTGGCAAAATCTAAGATCAGTGAAATTTAGAACCAGTAAGCTATATACATGTATTTAATACTTCTGCCCCAGTATCTGGGTACAAGAGGAACAAGATGTTGTCCTTTGAGCAAGCAGCTCTCAATGATTTAGTTGGAATTTGGTTCGACTTGCCTGGATCTATGTCCATCAGGCAAGGTTAGTTTGCTTTAGAAGTTACTTGCCAAGCAACAAAATCTAGTCATCCTGGAATACCAGACAGGACTTTTTTCGAGCCCTGAAATAGTGACCTTTTTCTTTGTTTGTCTACAAATCTACATGACCAAAAATAGATGATGTCTTGCAGTTTGTCTTAAGCATAGCTTCCAATGACTGTGACCACTGCTATAGTTTTGCCAAATAATTATTTTACAGTTCATGTTCCTTATTCACCAGTAAAATTCACTAGTAAAGGACACAGGTACATGTCAAAATCACTCAAAAGATATCATAAAATGCCTTGAATAATAAATAAATTGGTTAATTATTTTAATAAAAATATTGTCTCATTCAAGAAATACAGGTTTTGAGCCAATATCCATGGAATTAAGCAGGACTTGCTAATAACTCTAAATTGAAATGCAACTCCAACACAGGATAGACAAGATTAACAAAGCAACCTTCACAGGCAAAATTTGTTGAGTTTTACTTTAACTGTCTACCATATAATTAAATAATTTCAATAATTTTCAAATAGCACCCATGAGGGGTACCCCTAGCAGTGAGTCATCGGCCGCACATATTTATATGCATACATCTGAGACAGACATAGAAGATAAAAGGTTCTTGTCTATGAAAACAAGAAGATGGCAGAGCTTGAACCCAGATCAACAGATCTGAAGTTCCAGGTGTCAACCACTTGGCTAGCAAACCTCCACTGCAGTACAGTACTTGAGAGCAGAGCATTGTAAATTAACAGAAAGTTTTTGAGAATGAACTACAGTAATCATGGAAACTACTGAAGGTGGTAATATTTGAACAGAAATTTGAGGTTAATTACCATGTATAACAAAATTCATTACAAGTCTCAAAAACAACAAAAACAACTAAGATAGAAAGAGCTCTGAAGAGTACTCGAGTTAAGTTAAGATGAACTGAAGTAAACACAGCAGGAAGCTGCTACTAACTATTACATGAACATGTAAACAAGGTAGCTAGTGCTAGGCACATTTTAAAACATGATTTATGAATTACAAACGCCAGAAAAAGAAACAGAGATTTTTACTACGAAAAATATAACCAACTGGTAAACATCATTTCAACAAACATCATTTCAAAAAGGTACATGTCCAATGAATACTTGTACCTTGCTGAGCTTGCTGAGCCTGGGTATCATGGCGACCAGACGCGACTTCTGAGCTCTTCTGATTAATTGTCAAATTCGTCCGTAGAGAAAAGAGTGACGAGTTCTACAAGTCACGCAAGCACCTTGGCGGGAAAAAAGCAAGCGTGCTTCCATTCGTGGCTTGTGAGATGGGGAAAAGCATCCACCAAGACTCTGCTATGTACATTAATGAATCCCTAACCCAGTATCGCAGTGAACTCTTTGGAAGGGTAAACAAATTCAAGAAGGAAAACAAGTACAAATTCCTATGTACGAATAATGGTAAGAATTTTATAGAACGACTGGATTCAATTAAAAAACTTATTAATATATGGTCCGCTAGAGGCCTGTCGATATACGGTAAGGTGACAATAATCAAATCTTTTCTTATCCCTAAGTACATTTACATTTGTTCGATCCTTCCAACTCCCAAGGAATTACTAAAAGAATTGAATAAAATACTGTTTAAATTTCTCTGGAAAGGTGTAGATAAGGTGACAAGAGCTTCAGTTATAAACGAATACGAAGAGGGAGGGCTAAGAATGGTTGATCTCGAGTGTATGGTTAAGTCATTGAGATTAGCTTGGTTAAAACGTATCTTCAGTGGGACTAATGGAACTTAGAAAAGCTACCTACAACACATACTGAGCTCCGTTGGGGGATTGTTCTTTTTTAACTTCAACTACAATATCTCGGATTACACAATTCCTTCTCAATTTTACCAGGAACTTTTGTTATGGTGGTCGCAATTTCGTGAAAAGTTTGCCACTGAAGAAGATTGGAAAACGATAATCTGGAATAACAAGGAAATAAAAGTAGAAAACAAGCCGGTTTATTATAAACATTATGTTAATGCGAGAGTCATTTGCATTCAGGATCTTTTATTTAGTCTGAACAGTACTGATTCTTATAATCAACTGTCTAAAAAAATATGCAAAACAAATATTTTAGAATGGGCTGGCTTATGCAGGTCCATTCTATTATCGTTGAGAAGTTATGACAGGTATCCTTCCATAAACTCACCAACATTTGTGGTGGGTGACAATAACTTTCATTCTAACAGCGACAATCTGAAGCAAATATTTAAGCTGCCACACTCTATCGTTGTCGAATCGTATTTTAAATCCTTCCAGTACAAAGTAATTAACTCAATTCTTTACACAAATACAAAGTTGTATAAAACAGGTTTTAGGACAAATGATTTATGTACTTTCTGTGACAATCAACCCGAATCATTAACGCATTTGTTCTATCACTGCTCATGCTCTAAACAGTTTTGGATTGAATTTGAACTACATTGGTGCCTTAATTATTTCGAATCAATGAATTTGTCTCTGCTTGGAAAATGTGCTCTTTGGAATTTTGATGGAAAGTGCTTGCCCTTTACTCCAATTGCTGAACTATTTTATAATTATTGGAAAACTCTATTTGTGGGACTGCAGGAGCAAACAAATCCTTCCAAACATTTATGGATTTAGAGCCAAGATCATCGCTAAATATGAAACAGGAGAAAAAATCAGCAACAAAGAATTCTTTAAAAGAAAGTGGATACTGACGCCTTATTTAAGTTAACTGTATTAACTCCGTATTCTTTCATTACCCTGTTGTACTTTTTTACAATTTCTTTTAGCCCTGTAACACCTCCTGTAATAATTTGACAATTTTTTTTTTGCTTTACTCTGTCAATGTCTCTTGTTAAAGTGTTTTTTTTGTGTGTGTGTTTTGTAAATGTAATTATTTAATGCGATTATCAATAAACATATTTAAAAAAATAATAATAATAATAATAATAATGGTAAGATCCATCTACGTAAACATGAAACCTCACAGACATTTACATTTACAACATTTGAAGAATTCGAAGACTTCATTGCTCCATCACAATGAAACTTTAATATCTGGTTAATACTCCTTGTAGTAACTTAGTAGTTATTTAATAGTGGCTTCTTCAAATGTTTGGATACCCCCATTTCATGATTTAGATGAAAGAGAATTTAGATTTGTACTCGGTTCTGGTAATGTCAGTGACTTCACTGGTAATGTCCGTGACTTCACACCGTGGTGTTGATTTGTACAAAATCCTTCCAAATCCTGACAAGTTCGATGAATCTGACCCTGATTTAATGTTGTCAACCCCTAGCTCTGAGTACTATTCCATAACTGATGCTAATAACCTTTTAGCTGATGTAGATAACGATTCCATTTTTCTCTTTCATTGTAATATTAGAAGTCTAGCAAAAACCTTCGAGCTCTTACACGACCTTTTATATTGCTTTGATAATATACCTGATGTAATTGCTGTAACAGAAACTAGAATTAATTGTAACTCATCAGCAAACATAGATCTTCCTAACTACAAATTTACAGTACTGATTCTAAAACAATGACTGGTGGTGTTGGTATTTACATCTCATCCTCCCTAAATGCAATTCATAGGTCACATTTAAGCTTTAAACCTGTTGAGGCAGAATCCTGCTGGATAGAAATCTTACAGGAACACAAACCTAGTATAATTGTGGGATGTATATGCAGGCACCCCTCGTCTAATCTTGATAATTTTATATCTCAACTAGAAAACCTCGTCAGTCCCTTAAACCAATCCAAGCATCAGGTTTTTATCCTAGGGGACATGAATATTGACTGTCTAAGAGCAGGTACACATTCCAAAACTGAAGACTACCTTGATATGCTATACAGTAGTATAACCTCCTCCCAGTCATAACAAAACCTACTAGGAACACAAGCCATACTGCAACTCTTATTGATCATATTTACACAAATGCCTCTACTGACCAAATCATACCTGGTATTGTCACCACAGACATATCAGACCACCTGCCCACTTCCTGTTTCATTAGAAGACAGATAACAAGGCTAAAACCAAAGAGATTCTTCAGGGACTATTCAAATTTTGACTCCAAGACCTATCTGAATGACATTAAGTTAGTTGACTGGAGTAGCATCCTAAATGACCCAACCGACATCCACACTAAAGCCAGCAGCTTTGTCAAAAAACTTAAAGGCACAGCCAATAAACATGAGCCAATTAAACGCATACCCGCAGCCGTCTAAAACAAAAGATTCACAAACAATGGGTAACAGATACCTTATTAAATTCTATAAGAAACAAGCAGAAAATGTATCGCATGCACTTTCTTTCTAAAGATCTACACAAGGTAGGTTACTATAAAAAATACTCAAATACTCTGAATAAGGCAGGGGTCGCACTAACGCTTTTGGTGTTTACATTGGACATAAAATCTGTCATCGCGTGCCTGCGACAAGTGCGACCCTTTTGTCGCGACCTGCCATAACTATGTCCGAAGGACCTAAAGATCAGAAAAGCCGATGTCCTGCCTCGAAGCAGGTCATATCTTGTCCAATGGCCGTAAAATAACAATTTTTTGTTTTTCTTCGGCCACAATGTCAGTCAAATCTGAAATACCGGCAAAAATCGCATTTTCGCAATTCTTCGAAGATAACACATGTGCACAGCTAGCTACAGCTATCTGTTCAAAATTTCAGTCACCGGTTTTCTCTACAAACGTTTATCTGGTCCTTATGGCGAATTTCAACTCATACCAATTAACAAATTCGCACTAATCCACCTGATTATTCTCAGTATGGGGATGGTTTGTTTTCACCCTTTAGCTTGCAGATGTTTTCCCAAGACTCGCAGCCTTCGACCTCGCAGCCGTCTTTTCACAGGGCTTTTGAACATGGGCAGCCAATCCAGCCATCACCAGTCCCTTCAGTTGCCTCGGGAGGAACAAAAAAGTCCAACCAAAGGGAGAGATGGGGTTTCGACGATGAAAAAGTTGGCGCTCTTTTCGCGCGTGAAATATTAAGAGTTGACAGTCCGGTTTCAAATATCATTTAAGTCCCACACGTGCGACCTCCAAGACTAAATGTCGTGACATATTTGTGGGACAACATATGACGCAACATAAAAAAAAAGGCCACAGTGCGACCCCTGCCTAAGCTGAAATGGGCCTGTAAGTTATCCTACTATAACTAAAAAAATTAATAAGAACAACCTAAAAAATATATGGAAGTTAATTGGCACCATTATAAACAGGAAACCTAGAGGGCACACTGTACCAGCAAAGTTACACTACAATGGAAAAACCTACACTGGCAAACATGACTGTCAATCAGTTCAATGAGTACTTTATAAATATTGGTCCAAATTTGGCATCTACAATTCACTCAAGTATAAAACCTGATGCTTTCCTCCCAGCAACTCATAGTTCTAGTTTTTTTCTTTCCACGGTGGATTCAGCACAAGTTGAGCTAGCACTATCTGGCCTTGATAGGCACAAAGCCACTATAGATATCCCTAACTATCTAATCAAGATTGCCAGCAATCTGCTTTCAACTCCCCTCACAAGCTTATTTAATGAATCCATTGAATCAGGTATTGTCCTGGATATTTTCAAGATCTCAAAGGTTACCCCAGCCTTTAAGAATGGTGCAGTGACAGACCCTGGCAATTACCGTCCCATTACTGTCCTCTCTCCGTTTGCTAAAATCCTTGAAAGACTAGCGTACAATCAGCTAAGTCATTTCATAGAAAAGGAAAACATTCTTTTTAAACACCAATTTGGCTTCAGGAAAAAAAATTAATTATTCTACTGAGCAAGGACCTTGAAAAAACTATAAATGAGGAATTCAACCATCTTCTTAGCTACTGCTCAGCTAATAAACTTTCTATAAACTTTAAGAAAACCCACTATATGACAGTCTCCTCCCCCCAAAAAAGCAAATAAACTTAAGCTTGATTTACACAATAAGTAAAGAAAAGAACTACATCAAATACCTACGTATCTACATTGACAAAAATCTAAATTGGGCTCCCCACATTCAGCACATTAACAGCAAAATATCTAAAAACTTGGGAATCCTTTTCAGATTACGCCATTTCTTAACTTTAAACACCCTCAAGCAAATATAATTATTACTCACTTATCTACCCCTACCTTCATTGTGGAATTATGAGTTGGGGAAACACATACCCAATTAACAAGTAGATTAACTTAAGTTCAAACAAAACAAAATAAATGTATACACTGCATATTTTTTACCCATAATAGAGAAAGTAGTGCACCCTACCTCAAACTTCTAGATATACTTAACATAGATAGCATTTTTAAAATCAAAATCTCCTTGCTAGCCCACAAAATCTCACAAAATGAAGCCAATATCCCTGAAAAGTTTCAAAACTACCTCGTAAAGGTGTCTCATATTCACTCACACAATACCAGATATGCCTCAAATCTTAACTTTTGTGTACCACGTGTAAGGTCAAATTATGGCAAACACACATTTAAGTTTGCCATAACCAATTACTTAGGAAGAGATTCCTACTAAGATAAAAACACTTAGCTACCATAAGTTCAAAAAAGAATATAAGCGAATTCTAGTTAACTCTCAAAGGTAACAATTGTAATAATATGACTGTCTCACATAACCTGACTGCTGGCATAATCGTCCATAGTTGCCATGGCACCAAGCGCATGTTTATCATGTGTCTCCAATCACAATATGGCGGTAGTTAGCTCAAAAGCTAAGCTTCTCTTACCACCGTACACTTCTACCCAAAACATTAATTTTCTTTTTTTTCCTTTTTCTTCTACTTCATTAGTGTATTCCTAACTTATTATATAATGTAAATATTTTATAAAGTGTGAATAATAAAACTGAAAAAAAAATTAATATGATCCTGAAGTTTAAGAAGGTTAAGCTTAGCAAACAGAGGACTTGTATGTGCATCGAAATTGGAGAAAGTAATTAAACCGACTGCTTTAATTCCGTTGTATTATTTGAAGTGGTTTGATGTTACGGTCATAAGTGTTGCCCCAAACCATACAAAATCATATCCTTCAATAGCAATGTTGCTAGTTAGATCACAGTTACCTTTTTATCTTTGTTTCGGAAAGGCCAATAACATCGAGTGAATGTTGTAAATCTGATAACAGCATTGTCAAACCATCATGGTTAGCAGAATGACTTCTTATGTTGAAATGAATTGTAGAAAAGAAAGGCATAGATTTGCTCTGAGATATATCTTCAAGGATAAATAACTTTTATTGCAATTTCCCTTGTGTTTTCGTCTTCTGCCTCAAGAATACCAGAAATTTTTACACACTCGCGGGGAGAATACTGTTCTAAATTATTCAACGAAGCTTCGCAGAATTGCAGTTTACTGGCCAGTTTAGCATTTTCGGCTTCTAAACTCGCATTCCTTGCCTCAAGTGAATCAAGTCTTGCTTTGAATAGGTTGTCTAGCCTGGAATGAATCGGCTTGAGTTTGCTATCGAGCAGCAACTCAAGATCACGGCTCAAAGTTAGCAACTAAAAGGTCGCATATGCGACTGGATTTTTGGTTGTGCGCCTAAAAATTCATGTGTAATCGCACCTGTGCGCCATAAAACTCAAAGCACAGTGCAACTGACTTACTTCCGAATATACTTACGAACTCGAACCAGATAAGACGGTGTATGTTTAATTGGTCTTTTCTCCCAATGGATTCCACGAACTCGAATGTTCTTTTTCGTTTCGATGTTTTACTCCATCCCAGACTCTTCTGTTTTGTGATAAACACCGCTGACACATGCAAATAATGCTACGAACGAAACACGTGCTTTTTGCGCAATGGACGATCATTTCGAACGATCAGTTTTAAGGTCAATCAAAACAAAAACAGTGCGGGTTAAGAGCCTTCTTTTCCAGGTAAGAAAGTTTTTAAGTCATATCCCAGGTACATGTAAGTCATTGCACATTTAACAAATTCATTAAAGATTAACTTTCATTCTCGTTTGACGCACTCATTGTTGTCAGTTTTGAATTTTTCTCAAGTGTAAGTTTTCTTTAGTCACAGCTGTACTGTCAAAAAGAGAAATTAGTATTAAAAATCACAACGGTATTACTGCGTAGCAAATGGGCTGTGTTTTATCAATCACAGGACTGAAGTAAATTAAAGTAACAAACTGAAGATGACAAATAAACGTGGCACTGTTAAGCTTTTTACTTTTTCTTTTGAAATAGATGCTCCCAACATTATAAACTGTGCTCCTAAAATTTTCAGCTGTGCGCTTAAAATCTCGGCAGTGCGCCTAAAAATTTACATCTGGTAGCACAAGTGCTACCAAACTCAAATTTAAACTTTGAGCCCCGAAGATCCTTCAAAGAAGGCTTGTCATTTGATGGCATTTTGCTTGTTACATAAATGGACACACGGAGACACCAAAACATAAAGGAAAAAAACTCTGTAAGAATCTGCATTAAGCAGTGAACAGAAGACATATCACATGCAGTAAGCAAAACATGTCTGCCATTTTTGCTGATCGCTGACCATGTTGTCAATGTCTTGAATAAAGTATTATTATAAAGACTTGATTTTTCATGCATTTCTGAAGGATCCTTGCCTACGGTCAGTTTCTCCACTGTCCACTTTCCAAGACACTTTCATTTACTATAACTGCTCAAGGAAAATCTTTTGGGGTTAATTTCTAATCTCTAACTAAATCACAAATTGTTCTTGTTTTCACCGCCATTTCTTTGAAGTTTACAGTAGATCTGGTGGCCCTAGGAAGGCCTCACTTTCATGCTTATGTTGTAAGTGCATGTGTATGACACTGTTAAAGGCAGTTACAGAAATCATCTTAGGTAAGGACCACCTATACCTAATAGTTATAGTTGATCACTGCAAATTTTGGGGGTTTTTAATTATTTTTATCTTGCAAGCAGATCCTGGGGGCGGGGGGGTACTCTGGATTTCAAATGACAGCAAAAATGGAAGGATTTTTCTGGGTTTGAAATTCTCAATTTCAGGATGCTTTTAGGTAGGAACATTTTGGCACTAATCGTTTGGGGTAGCTTGATTTAAGATGGGACTTTTTTGGGTATTCAAAACTAAATGGTTCTATTTTCCTGTTATATCATTTAATGCTTTCTGTCCAGAAAATTTTTATGGTTCGGAAATTCAGCATGGGATTTTTGGGGGGTTAAATTTTGGTGCAGGGATTTTTTGGCGGTTTTGTTTGAATCCCAAGGGGTTTTTTGGGGTTTTGATTTTTGCCCCCATTCGATCATCCCTGTCACTTGGTCACTTGAAATCCAGAGTACCCCCAGGAAGCAGGTCAGGTTCAATTTCATTCATTTCCTGCATGAACTTCTATGGTAGTTCTTGGACCAAAAATGGGCCAAAGGAACACAAAAACGTAATAATATTATATTTGCTGCTCCTTGCACCTCCTCTGTACCTTCAACTCTTACTTCCCCCTTCCTTGCCTTAATAATCTCCTCCCTGTCAATGAAGCCATTCCCCCAATTTGCAAATTATTATATGTAACACATTACATTGACATGCACTTCCTTGAGCATGTGCTACAATAATAAAATTTTACATTAACTGCTAAATTCATCACTATGATGTTATAAAACAATTAGTTCATGCTTCAGCCATGCATATTTCAAGAGGCTAGAGATGCTCTCAGCTGCGCCTCAAGCAACTCTTACACTCTCTAATGTACTCTCTTAACTTCCCGTGCATTCAATATCTCAACACTGATGCATGAACTAATTGTCAGGATCTCCTTTGCTAAAGAGCAAAGAATCTTTGATCCTGTCATCATAGAAGGAAAGGAGGTAGAGTTAGTCACTAGTACAAAGCTACTAGGCCTTACAATAGTGAACAATCTAACATGGAACGACCATGTAACTGAGATAACCAAAAAGGCTAGCAAGAGACTCTATTTCCTAACTCAGTTAAAGAGAGCGGGAGTTCCGCAACAAGATCTAGCACTGTTCTACTTCTTGTGCATGAGATCTGTTATTGATTATGCAGCACCTGTCTGTTTCAACGGTCTCCCTCAGTACTTCAAGAAAGAGCTGGTATGGCTCGAGAAAAGAGCAACATCAATAATAACCTCAGGAAAGTGCAACTTGACAACAGAGGTGGGGTTAACACCCATTTTGGAGCATTATTAAGTACTATGTAGCAGGCTTTTTGATAACATTGCCAGTGATCCAAACCATAAATTGAAGGCCCTCCTTCCACCAGACTATGACAACTCACGCTATAACCTAAGACGACAGGGCCTTTTTAATATGCCAAAGCTTTGCACGAACAGAACAAGTAACACTTTTATTTATGCGATGTCGAAATAGTCCGGGCTGTAGTTTTATCCCACTTTATATATTCATGCTTTATATCATAACATATTTTAATACAAATATGTTGTATAGAATTTTTAATATTATCTTAAAAACTAGTTTTTGACTTATTGTCTAGGATTCATTTGTAATTAATTTTTCGAGTATTGTAAAGTATTTGTAAAAATTAATAATTGCATAATTCAGCCTTTGGCTGTGATGCAATTTTAATAAACTATCTATCTAACTATCTATCTATATATCTGTTAAATGTTGGAGATAATCATATAAAAGCGAAGTGGTCAGAGATGGAGGTTTGACTGTAATTTTCATTTTATGAATGTGTATTCCCAGAAATTCCATACAAATAGAAATATTACAAACAATATCAAATTTAAGATCGATGAAAGTTCAGGAGTTAAAAGCGAAAAACACTTTCACTTTAAATTTCCCGCTTCAAGCATTAATTTACGGGGCAGTGTAAAATGCAGACTGTGGACTGACTGCGGACTATTGTTTTTAGGATTAGAAAACAGTGGGACTATCGCTGTCACCTGCTCATTTGCATGGTTAATATCATAGGTGACGAATTGCTCCTTAATTTTGGCGCGAAATTTCAGCGATAATTTGTAATTTCACATGTGAAATTACAAAATTACCATGGCAACCCTTCTGTACGTCTCAGTGTCAAGATGGCGACGAAGTTTTAAAATGCCGTGAATGAAGATGTCAGGGCACAAAAAGACGCTTTAGAAAACCCGAACACACAAGAGAACATCAAGGATTCTTTTAGCTTTTTTTAGGATTTGGACAAAATGCGCCTGAAATTATTCCCTAATTTCACTCGTCACCATTTGATTACACATACTAATATCATAGGTGACGAATTACTCCTTAATTTTGGCGCGAAATTTCAGCGTTAATTTGTAATTTCACATGTGAAATTAGTAAATTGCCATGGCAACCTGCCGTACATCTCAGTGTCAAGATGACGACGAAGTTTTAAAATGTCATGAATGACGATGTCAGGGCACAAAAAGACGCTTTAGAAAACCTGAACACACGAAAGAGCACAACAAGAAGGATTCTAACAGGTATTTTGTCTAAAAACTCTGAACTTAAGCCAAATTTAAGCTCTAAACGTTCAAGAGAGTGCAGGAAAAACATGTCAAAAATCCAAGATTGTTAACGTCATTCGTCACCCATGATATTAATAGGTAATCAAATGGTATACTTGTGGACAAAACGCGAGTGAAATTATTCCCTAATTTCACCCGTCACCATTTGATTACACATACTAATATCATAGGTGACGAATTACTCCTTAATTTTGGTGCGAAATTTCAGCGTTAATTTGTAATTTCACATGTGAAATTACTAAATTGCCATGGCAACCTGCCATACGTCTCCATTTCAAGATGGCGACGAAGTTTTAAAATGTCATGAATGGTCATGAATGAAGATGTCAGGGCATAAAAAGACGCTTTAGAAAATCTGAACACACGAAAGAGCTTATCAAGAAGGATTCTTAAAGGTATGTTGTCGAAAAATTTTGAAAACTAAGCCAAATTTCAGCTCTAAACGTTTGAGAGAGTGGAGTTCACGATCAATTGATACGGTCCAGGATAACTGAGGATAAACAAGTCAAAAATCCTCGATTGCTAAGGTAATTCGTCACCCATGATATTAATAGGTAATCAAATGGTATACTCGTGAAATTAGGGAATAATTTCACTTTCGTTTTGTCCAAATCCTAATAATTTCCCTCGCCTAAAGGCTCGGGAAATTATAAGGATTTGGACAAAACGGGCGTGAAATTATTCCCTAATTTCACTCGTCACCATTTGATTACACATACAAATCAACAACAGTCCGCAGTCTGTATTTTTACACTGACCGTTAATTTACTGAATTAATTAAGAAACAAACATTCAAGGTTTGCAGAAACTAAACTTTCAGACAAGGAATACACTTCTTAAAAGAATATAACTAAAGATTTTCTTTATATATCAAGGGAAAATAGATAAAAGCTTACCTGTAAGCATAAAGCCGAATCCTTTAAATTTTAAAGCCACGATGTGGTTGTACACAGCGCAAAACGTGGTCAACATTCCAGTGATTTGCAGCTACACCGGCGAATTAATTTGCCCACAAATGCCACAGAACGAGGAACGTAATATTTCCACTGATAGTAGTAATAGAATAGACCATTTGCAGGAAGTTTTGCCAACAAACTTTACCATTTTCTCCTCATTTTCGATGATCATGGCTTCCATTGCAACACAATGGATTCTCGTTCCCAGAATCTTTGCGGCACTAGATTTCCCGCGAAAAAATGGGTTGACCCGGGCCTGGGGCCCGTTTCTGGAAAGTCCCTATAATAGCTGTCTCCGTTTACATTAAAGATCGAGGTTTTAATAGTTTTGCATCTAACCCGATAAAACTGTCAGTTAATGAAACAAAATGGAGTAGTTTGCTAGCCAGGAACCTCGCTCTTACTCTTTATATTTCGATTTGAATATTTGATTTCGGGCCCGTAAAGTTACCGGGACTTTTGAGAAACGGGCCCCTGGACCCGGGTAGAAAACCCCAAATGACCACACCCAAACTCGAAAGTTGGTTCTCTTTTGCACTTTTTCAGCCCCCTGAAACATACCTATTGTAGACATCATTTCAGATCTACACTCGAACCTCCCGCGAACGACCAACCGAAATGCAAAGACTGAGTGATCGCTTATTGGATTTGGTCGTTTATAAGAATCGAACCACAGGGGCCAGGGGGGTTTCTTCCGAGAAAAGGTCTAGGCACATAGGATATCAAATTGCATGTTGTCACTAAAGTTCTTGGTATTTTCTAAGTAAGACACAGGGTCCAGAGGAGACGTGTTTGTTGTTAGAACATCAAAACCCGTCGAAAACCTCTGAAAAAATGGGTTATTTTGATCGCGTTATAGTTTCGTTACAAATTCTATAGACCGCAAACCAAGAGACTGACGGCTCGCAAGATCGGCTTACAGTATAAAATCCTTTCTTTTATTCGGCACTTCGTGCCTCGGTCGCCCTTCGGGCAACCGTCCTTCCGTCACCCTTCTGGCGACGTGCCGTGCGCCAGCGAGGATATGGCTTGCGGTTATTGATTTTCAAAAGTCGATCTGGGTCAGATAAGAAGCGAAGAAATCGTTTACAGTAGAGTTATGAAGATCCCATTGGGCTAATTAATCGTGCTAAGCGACAGGTATAGACATTTTTCAAGGTGAGACTTTAAATAAGTAGTTCATTTATTCACACGAGACTCCTCTGGACCCTGTGAGTAAGATAGGGCATACAGCGAAAAATAGAGATCAGAGAATGCGTCAAGTAGTCGCTTTATACAAGGGATTAAAAACAATGGAAAATCTTTAACCGTCAGGCTCAGAAACTGGTCACGTTGCTTATGTACCGAGGAGGTGGTAGTTTACAATAGATTCCAACTGTAAGGCTTTGACTGGGAAATTTTTGGTGTTTTGGATTGGCGGTCGCTTATGGGAGACGGTCGCTTACGAGAGCTAATCGCACATGGAGGTTCGATTTATACCCGCCCAGTCTGCTGCAGCTCTTGATTCCACCCATAATGCGATTTTTTCTCAGCCCTTCAATTAATTGAAGGCTTCTGCTTCTGACAACACTTCTTTTAGATGAGCGGAAAACGGCTTTATGAAACTTTTTTGACCCTTGGTCTTTTCAGACTGTTTTTTTGCCGAACCTGCGATCAGGCAGTCCTTTTTCTCTTTTGTTTGGGAGTCTACAGAACGGTGACACTGACGGCCGCAAGAGTTAGAGGGTCGTTGGAGACTTCACCGGAAGTGATGAACAGCGATTTGGTTTTCACGCCCGGCACATTTTAATCAACGGGAGCTGTGTGCGTGTCACGGATTTCCAGTTCATTTTCTTAATATTTCATTTCATTTTCTTAATATATCAGGAATCAACACCAAAAAATGGGGTGGGATCAGGGATCACTGCACAGCACCGGGATCTTGGATCACAAGCCGTTGAGATCGGGATCTGCATTACTGTAAGGAGACCAGAGATCCGGTTGTCCAACAGAACAACAAAGACCACAAAATTCTGAAATGGCCTTAATTGGACGAACCTGTCAACATTTTTCAATTCAGTTGTATTATTGCTGTAACATTTCGATCCAGTACTAAACTGTACTAATGCAATCAGATCTGCTGGACGAGCTTGTCTGGAAAACTTGTGGATACTTTGCTTGAATTTAAAGATATTTATCTCATGTTGTCTTTTTTAGCACATTACCTACTCTCTGCTTGTTGACCTATTGACTCAGTTTGTTAGAGCTAAGATGACTGAGCTAAAGAATTGGTCAAAGTCTTTGCTTGCTGGAAAAAAACAATGTACGTAATGGACATTGCCCTTTACCAGAGTGGCTAATTTCTCTCTTTCTAAACCTGTCGTGTGATGATGAAGAAAGGCATCCTAAGCAAATATTTAACAAAGATGTCTTGTTAAGAGACGCAGTTCTTTTAAAACAAAATCCTCTTATCATAGCACTTTCTTTTTGCACTTAGTATTTGACACTTTGCACCTTGTACTGATGAGCCTCAAGACACCATATATGGTAGGCTTTATACTAAAATTCCTTTAACAGATCCCAAAAATATCATTCAAAAATTCACTTTCAAGCCACTAAATGCAAATTACTTTCAAGCGTAAAGTAGCTAGCGTCATGAAAGATATAGGAACTTGATGAAGCTCGTGGCTCTGATTAAATATTCTGTCAGGAAGAAGCTCTGATCTGTGATAAAAAGCTGGCAAGTCGAATCGTCCAAAATCAAGGAAACACAATCCCTGTAGTCTGGAAATAAATTACTGCAAATTGTGCAGCCATGATAGACTCTTCAAATTTTCTGTCGCTACACCTTTTGCAAGTTATATTAGCATTTTATAAGCTGTTGTTGTTGATACGCTAGCGACAGGGAATCTCTATTCATCCTGGTCTTGTGGAATTCTGTAGGTAAGAGATCTCAGGAGCGTATCATCCATAAATGAACATACGCGCGTGTGTACATGTATAGTTAAAACAAAGAAAACATTTTTTTATTTCCTGAAAATGCATTTTTTTATCATTAAATAGGTACATTTTTTGCACTGCTGGTGAGTTTGTGTTAGTGTTTGCTTGATCCTTTCATTACTCTATTATTCTGACGGCTTCGCCGGCCTCTTTTTTCCCATAAACACTGAATCTTACCAACAACACCAGAGATGGGTAAAATAAACAACTAGCTCCTGCATTTTCCTGCGTATTAATTTATGAAAATGTCCTGCAAAAAAACGCTGGAAATGGCCTTGCTGAGACCCTAAATTTAAAACTTTTCTGGGGGAGTATGCCCCCAGACCCCCTAGGCTGGGCCGCCTTCATCGCTACAACTTTTCTCCCGCGTGCGTGCACCACAGGCTACCTACACCAATATGCGCGATATGAAACGTGAGGATAGACAAACTACGTGTACAATTAGGACAAGCCCCTTTCACCTTAGACTAACTTGATGTTTTCTCTTGCTTGTGTTGCTGGCGAATTGCGGAATTGATCGCATTTTAAAGGAAAGGCGTAAACGGCACGAACAGAGCACTAAACTAAAAGTTCATTACCGTAGAGATATATTAATTGTAATGAGAGCTCTTAAGTGAAACGTATTATCATAGAAACTATGATTGCTCTAAAGAACAAACTGGAACCAACCTTAATTCTCCAGTCAGTGAATGATGTGACTAATTGTAAAAGAAATCAAAAAGGGAAACAATTTTTTTTGCAGTTTTTATAAAGTATACGCAACTAATCCAACCCGGTTTGAATCTAGGGATCAAACAAATTCACGGGATCAGGGATCAAGTTTTGCAACAATTTTGGGATCAGGGATCAAAATTTATGGCCTAAATGTGGGATCATTTGGCAAAAAAGTATACCTTATTACGACCCTGATATTTGCTAATTACAAGGTCTTTTCTACAAAGGAACTTATCCTATAGCGAAGAAATTACTTAGCTGTTTTGCAAATGACTAAATCCCTGCTTCATGTCAAAAGTTAGAGACAAAAAGACTAATCGGAACTTGAAAAACTGTTAGGCTATTAAAGTGCAACTAACCCGCCAATGACCCTGTTTAAGACAAATATTGCTGATTTTCCTACCCTGTTTAAGACAGAATTCCGATTTTTGATACCCTATTTAAGACATTTATCCTGTTTAAGACAAAAATTGATAAATCGATACACTGATTAAGACAAAAAATGATAAATTCGATACCCTGTTTAAGACAAAAATCCCGAAAAACATACCCTGGCTGGCCGCACGTCCCCATTAAGCCCTTATAAGGGAGTACCACCCCCGATAGTGTATTTTTATCGCTGAGTACACTCCATTAATTATTTCCTTGAACTCAGCTTCCCGTGAAGCATGAAATGAAATGTTAATTTTCCAAGACTTGATCATTACTAGTTTCAGCCAAAAAATCTCTTGACGTGCCCATTAACTGAAAACGCGGTCAGCAAACTGCGCACGCATTGGTCTTGGGTTATCATCACGCCAAATAACATGACTCGACCAAGGGTCATCGCTCGGCAGGAAATTGTATGCTGTGATGTGCTTTGATCTCTCCAACAACGCGCTCTTTAATAGGTTAATCAGTAAAATCAAGACCATGGAAAGCGACTGTTCACGAAATTCGGAGGAAAATCTAGCTATGATCGATGGATCTGATATAGAAAGAAGGTTCCTTGAGGAGAAGGCGGAAATTGTTCGAGGATTTCTGCAGGAGAGAGAGATTGTTGATCGCGCCCACGAAGACGAGAAAAATGATATGCGTTTAGCTTTTGAAGTGGAAAAGGAAAACATGAGAAAAGCCTTTGAATGCGAGAAAGAAGAAATGCGACAGAATTTCTTAAAAGAGAAAGACAACATCCGCTTGGAATTTCAGGAATCGAGACATGTTTTGAAGTTGTCTTTCGAAGACGAGAAATCTGCATTGATAAAATCATGGGATCGTGAAAAACAGACTCTTCTTGACAATTACATCAAAGAGAAGAAGGAATTAAGAGCGCAAT